GACCCGTAACCCGTACGGGTTGATAATACGGGTTATCTACGGGTCGCGGGTTGAGATATGTAAACCCTAACCCGTTTTTTAAGGGTCGGGTTAAGGTCGGGTTGACGGGTCGGGTGGATTTTTGCCAGGTCTAGTCCGATTGGTTCAACTAGCTGATCCAGTTTGATTTTCGAAACACTGGGACAGCTGCAATGGCAGAGCCACATGTAAACCAGGGGCGGTGTCCCTGAAATTAAAAAATATATATATAATTGTTTACACCATAAATTGTAGACAAGACCACTAGAGGATTTTTGAGAAAATAATAATTAATTTATTAATTATTATGATTATAATTTTAAATATTATATATATTTTTTATAGAATAAATATTATATTTTTAATTATTAAAACACATAAAATAAAAAAATTTTAATAATAATGGACTGTTTTAGTTAAGAGTTCAAATATAATTTATATAATTCATTATTTATTTTAGCAATTTAACAATTTATTATTATTTGAAACCCACTCTCTTAAGCTCAAAACTATAGAAAAAGAAAAATGAAAAAAAGAGAAACAGATTCTCATGTTTTCTACGTCATTTTTTCAATATACAGTCCCATTGTCTCAATACCAATTTCCTTCAACTAATCAATCTCAACCCAACAATTTCAAAAAAAAAAAAAAAAGGACTCAGCAAGCAGCTAAACGCAAGCAGCTAAACGCAAGCAACTGCAACACTACTCTCATCATTAAAAGCTCAAAGGCAGAGGCACCACAAAAGGGCTCACTAATTTATTAGTAAAAACTAAAAATAACATTATTTTTTTTTATATAAATCATATATTGTCATATTGAGTTTCAATTTTAAAGTTTTATAAGTTTATTTTATTTTATTTTAAAATTCTGCCTTATATTTGTTAGTAGATATATTCTAAAAAAATTAATGTACTTTCTTTGTCTCAAAATAATTTATATTTTTATTTAGAATTTATCCTAGAATAATAGTCATTTTTTATCTTAAGGAAGATAAATATTTTTTTTTCTACTTTAACCCTATAATTATCTCTTAACTTTAATTATTTATCTTCTGATTAAAGTAAATATTTATTTTTAAATATTTTTTAAGTATAAAATAGATAAAAATAGAAATTGTTTTCAAATCTTTCATTTGAAGATAAAACAAAAAATCTATTATTCTAGTATGAAGGGAGTAATATTTAAGTAATGAAACTTATTGATTTTTTATCACCACAAAAAATTGTATAATTTCCTTTTAGGATTTAGAGTTGCTGAGATTACAAATACAATTGAATATTATGATAATATTGAAGCTATATTGAAGTT